CAATCCTTGTCTATATATTTAAAGGAACTTAACTATAAGTTACCTAAACCTTTTTTAGCGTAGTTACTTTTTAAGGGGCTACCTTCTTCTTTTAATAGCTTTATCTCTCGTAAATACGAGGAATTAGCTAAGGATATTAAGAATATTGATATTTCGAAATTAATATCTGACTTAATATCTAAAGAAGCTAGAATAAAGTCTAATATAGACTTAGAGGCTAATAAAGCTATTAAAATAAATAAGACCCCTATTTGTAAACATTATAAAAAGAAGGGACATTTAGAGAGTAAATGCTTTATTAAATACCCTAAATTACGTCCTAATAACAATAATAAAGGGACGAATTCAAAGAAGTCTAAACAAAAGGACTCTAACAAAAGGGGTAACAGTAGTACAAACAACAAAACAGAGGCTACTAAAGTAATTATAAGTGCTTTTAGTATTGATTAATGTAAAATAGACGTAGATACAGAAATTAATCCTAATATAGCTTATTTTACTTACTCCTACCGTAACAAGCTTGTATTAGACTCTAGTACTACTAAGCATTATACTCCTAATAAAGACTGGCTTCTTGATTATAAGGACGTCTCTAATAAGTCTATTTTAATCGCAAATAGTAACAAAGTGCCTATTAAAGGAATAGGCAATATACCTGTCTTAATAGGTAACAAAGAGGTATTAATAACAAACGTCAGTTATATACCTTCTATTAAGACTACCCTTATTAGCCCGAAAGAATTAACTAAAAAGGGATAGTTAGTTCTTTTTAAAGACAACAAGGCGATTACGTCTAACAAAGCCTGTAACTTGCGTTTTAAGGCTAGTTAGATTTATAACGCATATTATATAAATAGCGTTTAAATCAACTACAACTTATTAGAACCTGTCGTCTATAAAGTAGATCCTATTATTAACGACAGTCATAATGTAATAGACTTATATTACAAAAGACTGTTATACATTAATAAGGACTACTTAATTAAAACAATTAATGTTACATCCGGGCTAAAAAGAGTCACTAGTTCTAAAGAACTTAGTAACTGTGATTTATGCTATTACGGCAAATTTAATGAAATAGTCAGTAGAAAGCCACTAGATAGCGGTTCTATTCTGACTATATTTGATGTCGATATAGTAGGGCCATTTAATATTCCTGGCCTTAAAGGAGAACAGTATTTCGTTACTATTACATGTAGGGCAAGTAGGGCTATTTAGATATACCTTATAAAGTTTAAGTCTAATGTTTTTAATATATTAGTTAAGTTCTGTAATCGAATAGAAACTTAATTTAATATATTAATTAAGGTCTTTAGAATAGACAACGCAAAAGAGCTTACTAGCTCTAAATAGGACGCGTTTTGTAAGAAAAAGGGCATTATGTACGAACCTACAAGCCCTAATACGCCTACCTAAAACGGTATATCTAAAAGACTTAATAGATATGTAATTAAACGTCTTATTAGTCTTTGTAAAGAAAAACATATACTGTTAAAACTATGGCCTTACCTTATATAATTAATAGCATATATTAAAAACCGGACTTATAACTCTATAATTAAGTCGACTCCTTATAAATATATTATATAGAAAAAGCCGAATATTTTATATTTACGAATATTAGGATCCTTAACTTACGTCCTTATCCCTAAGTTAAGACGTAAGGGTAAATTAGCCGATAAAGCTAATAAAGAGATCTTAATAGGCTTTAACTCGTCTAACAACTTCTTAGTTTACGTTCCTAGTCAAAACAGAGTCATTAACTCTTAGAACGTAGCTATTAAAGAAGAGTTAGAATATAAGGACGACTTTATTATAGAAGAGGACTATTCTAATTTAATAGAGAATCAAAAATACGATAACTTAACGAATAGTACCTTTATTACAAATTCAGAAGACACTACGTCTAATTTAGAAGACATAGACGAATTAAGTACTAAATTCTATAAAGGCCTTATAACAAGAAGCCGTGCTAGTAGAACACCTACTAGTAACATGTCCCTATATAGCCTAGCTTCTATAGCTTTCTTATCCTCTTTAAATAAGGGGGCTCGTATTAACGATAATTCAAATAACTTATTACCTTAAATTAAGTTAGAGTTACCTAAAATCGACTCTATTAAATTAGAGTTACTTAAACTTAATTTAAACGAATTAGAGTTACCTAAACTTAATTTTACTAAATTAGAGTTAAATAACTCTAAAAATGAATTATCGAATGTATTTAAAGAGCCTAAGAACTATAGAGAGGCTATTAACTTAATATATAAGGATCAATAGATTAAAGCTATAGAAACGGAAATTAATTCGCTTAAGTCAAATAAAACATAGGACTTAGTACCCTTACCTAAAGGGACTAAACTATTAAAAACAAGATAGGTTTATAAAGTTAAGAACCCTAAGAATAGCCTTAATATAGACGACGTTACGTTTAAGGCTAGATTTGTAGTAAAAGGCTTTAAACAGCTATATAGCCTTAACTACATCGAGACTTTTACGGCCGTTATTAAGCAACTAGCTTAGAAATTAATATTTACGCTAGCTGTAATTAATAAGTAGTATATATATAAAATTAATATGATTTTCGCGTTTATACAAGGTAATATTAATTCCTTTATATATTTGAGTTAACCTAAAGGATTAGAAGATCCTAAGAATCCTAAGTACGTCCTAAGACTTAACAAAGCCTTATATAGACTTAAACAATCCGCTAGAATTTGGTATTACACATTAAAAGACGTATTAATTAACAAATTAGGCTTTACTATATTAAATACAGAAAGCTATGTCTTTATTAATCGTTCTACAAATATAATCATTACGATTTATGTAGACGATCTAGCGATTGTTAGCCCTAATTTATCTACTGTTGGATTACAAGGTTATGATAGAACGCCGTATTGCCGGATGGACGCGTAACAGGTAAGTGTGACACGTAACAAGTGAAAAGAGGCGCGTAAGAGGTGTAGTATGGCTGTTAGGCCAACGAGTACCGAATCGAATCGAATTGAATTGAATTGACTTGAATTAACGACGAACTTAACGACTTAGAGTGTTTTCTAGAGTCCTTATATACATGATTTAAGTTTTCTAGAATACTCTATACTATTCTATAAGCCTTATAGTCGTAATAGGCTACTAGACTTAATTAGGCATAGTATAGAATATTCTAGTACATGAATTTGTAAGCGAAGACACTAAAATACACCTAATACTCGACTAAAATCACACAATATAATCAAATACAAACACTAAAAT